GTCGTCGTCGTCTTCGTTGTTGTTGTTACTACTACTATGGTTATTGGTAGTATAGTTTCTCACCAGTCACCCGAGGCATGGCGTCCATGAGCCCGACACCCGAAGCCTGTGGCTGTAAGCTTTCATTCAGCCCCGCACCCAAGGCCATCAGAGCCACAGAGGCGAGACAGTGAGAAGCAATAGCTCGCCCCAATCAAAACCCACGAGGACGGTTGCAAGATGAAAACCTCAAACCTTAGCAGCTCTAAAAACCGACACGCCCGCCTAACCCTAGCTCGGCAGGAGCTCTTCCGTCCGGCGCCGAAGGGCAGTGGTTTGGGGGTCTACAGTTTAGGGTTAGGGCATGGGGCTTCGTGGAGTCTAGAGCGTTGTTTTGAAGGGCTTCGTTTGTCGGATCTGGGGTGTAGGTCCAGGTTGTGATGCACATGGTCCCTTGAACAGGGTTGTACCGATCTTTCTGTTACTGAGCAGCACTTGACTGGTTCGTGTTAGTCTCAATCAGTTTTCGGGGGTTTGGGGTTTAGGGTTTAGGGTTTAGGGAGTCGCGGCTGTTCGGGTATTCAGGCTCCTCCGCCTGCGAGAGTTTAGCTCAAGGCCGGGCTGATTTTCTCAGGTCCCGACAACCGCTTGAACGGCAGCATCACACCGACAGAGTTCACTGCGATCAAGCCACTTGCCTTTTATCCCAAAGCCTAGGAGGAAATGTTTTGGGCTTCTGGGGTACTGTCACATGCATTGACCCGTTTCAAACCTTGCAACCCGGAGCAGAAGTTTGCAGGAGCAAGACGGGGGCGAGGAAACGGGAACCCAGTCGTCTGAGGTTCGGGGATGTCAGGATGTCTCAAGGAGCAGGGTCACGGAAGAAGTTCCCAGAGCATGTACCATGTCGTCCGAAACCCCAAACCTTGCGCCCCAGCCCAACGCCCCGAAGCTCAAGCCCTAAAGCCCTAAAGCCCTAAACCCCGAAACCCAAAGCCTGACAGCCCAAGAATCTCGAAACCCAAAACCATAAACCCCAATCGCAGATTGGCTTTGAGCTCCGCCACAGCCTTGGTGCTAGCGTGCCTCCGCGAGGGGCCAGCCAGGAACTCAGAAACAGGAAGTTTTTTGATTCTCTGTTGGGGAGCCTTGGCAGAGTTAGCCGCTTTCCCGGTCCCCCCGAGCGCGAAGCCAAGCCCCGCATCCTCCGACCCTAAACCCTCGGCCCTAAACCCTAAACCCTAAGCCCTAGCTCAAGGGTGTCGGGTTTGGGTTTGGGGAGCCGGACACTAGGCTCAAGGTTTTTTTGTTGAGGGCTTAGAGCTTGGGGCATTTCGGGTTGAAGGATGTTGGGCCCAGAATTTAAGAAGTCAGTCCGTTGGCCCTCCCCTCCCCTCCCCTCCCC